CATGTAGTTGTTAAATATTTGAAAAATATTTAAATACCAAAAAAATACATATTTTAAAGCTTAATCAAATAATTAACTTTATTTTGGAAATGTAATTGCATTTTGAGCTAAGGATCAACATTCAACTTTCAAATTATATTTAAAAGTTTCTATCAAAGATATACAAGAAGTAAAAATTTGCCTCTCTTATTTTTTTGAGAATATAATAAAAAAAATTATACATAAGAAAGTTCAAAAAGAATTCATGTATGATATTATTAATCAATACTTTTTTACAAATGTTGTGAAACAAATGACTATGTAGGCACTCAATTTTGTCTTTAAAGAATTTAAATATGCAAAAAAATTGTTCAATATTAATTTTTATATTGGCACATTGACAAAGATATTATAAATATTATATAAGCATAAAATTCAAATAAATTTTACATAATGGAGGTATTTTGATAGTATAAGATTTTCATTATGAATATTATTTAATAAATATTGCTACTTTAATGCATCCATTATAACTACAAAAAGAATTTGCATCTTTTAAAGACCTTCACGATGTCTTTAATATTATTTGTTAAATATTTCTACTTCTATTAGTAAGAAATGATGTATAATCAATTATTGAAGCTTATATTGACAACTATGAGGTTTGAAAATCTAACAATTAATTATTTAAAGGATTGATTATATAAAACACCCAATTATACAGATAATTTGGTCTATAATTTTCTACTTAACATATACTTTTATAATTCAAAGTTGTTGAAGCAGCAATAAATGTTCAGCTTTGAAAAAATTATAAAGGGTATTGCAACAATATGTGCACATGTCTTATTCAAATTATTATATTTTCACAACTATCTATAAGTACATCACAGATATAATGAAGTATATAGTAGCTTTGTACAAATGTTTATTTAATACAAAGACTAATTAATGTGCAAGTAATAAGAATTGAGATTATTGAGTGATGTGAGAGGAGATTCATGATTATAATTTTGTCAAATGTCTTCTTCCAACTCTTGCACAAACTTACAAGTATCTACATTTATTTTGCAAATTTAGATTTACTTGCATACATAGACTTATGTACTATCTTCAAATACAACATAATATTATAAAAGGTCAAGAAATGTCTTCTTATATTGAGAAGATGGATTTGCAATTATTCAAGGAAAGAACATATTTTGTGAGGACGTATTTTCATATCACAAGAAAATCTAACTTTAACCTTTACATGCACTTCTTGAAATAGAAAGAAAAATAATTTCAACTAAAACCAAAATATCAACATAGCCACCTCAATTGAAACATGTCTTAAAACTCAATTATTCTTTGTTGTTTTGTCAATATAAAATCTTGTTGCCTTCAATACCATGCACATTTCTAGTGTCACATATGTCACATAATCATGGCCTACAATTACTAAGACGTGATGATCTCCTTCATTGATCTTATCCAATGTTCTTAATTAGTGGCATAATTTTTACACATTTATTAGAATGTTTGTTGTTTAGTGACATCTTTGTCAATGACAATACAAAGCAACCTAAAAACACAAAGTGGTAGTATGTTGTTCATTTAGACATGTATGGAATGTGCACCAAAAGCCACTCAATAGATCTCAAGATGTAAGAGCATTGAGGTGGCTGAGGAAGGTAGAAGCCAAAAATAGAAGATAGTAGGTAGAAAAGCAAGGCACAATATAGGCCAAGGACAAAGTGTAATGCAATACAAAGCAAGAGGGAGATAGAAGGCATAGCAAGAATATTGAATCAAAATTTGTCTCTTATTCTCTTTTAAACAAAAAAATAAGATTTTCTATAAGAGGCAAGAAATTGGGCAACCACTATGATTATAACAATGATAAAGATTAAAGTAATGATGAATGTGGTTGGTTTTCAATGGTTGTGGATCAAGTAGTAGAGAAATTAATCTAGACATCATTTTTACACAAAAGAAATTGTAGGATCTCCAATGGCATTGCTTTTTACATCTCCTTCATTAACAAACAAACAAACAAACAAACAAACACAAAAAAAAAAAAAAATCATTAGAGATATTATTATTAATATTATTAGTATTATTCATGAGGTCCGACTCCTCTTTCTTACTGTGACTTCCTTTATCAAATCAAGTTTGTCACCTATACCCGTGGGCGATACCTGTACACATGACCGTGGACCAAGAATCGCAGTTGGAATTGACCCGCAGATATAATCCAGCTGTACAGTGCCACGTAGATATCAACCAATCACGTGGCATTGTCACGGTGACTTAGCATATACAACACTTTATACAGTGCACGTGTACAGCTGTCGAACCTGACGTTCTCCTCCCTGGGGAGCAGTGGCTCCCATGAATGAAAGCTCTTCCACAATTATGCACGAGTGAAGGAGATGGATGAATGAACAGTTGAACGGTCAAACATATACATGGATGAATTTTATGGATGGATGTACGGCTGAATCATGCGTGCGATGCCGGTGTTAGCTGAGCTAATGGCGTGTTGACACTTGTCACCACCATGTTTTTAATTTTAATTTTAATTCTTTATTTTTGGATTTGAACAAGTCGATAATGCTAATATGAAATGTTGGGTTTCGTTTTTTAACATGTTTTTCATGTGTAATTTGTTCAACAAATCATTCAATTATTAAAAAAAGTACGTGGATTTCTTTTTTTAACATGTTTGATATTAATTAATATTACAGATTTTTTTTTTTTTTTGAATTTTCATGTTCTAAATATCAAGGTAGTAAATTGAATCTTTTTTTCTGTTTTTTATAATTTTTCTTCTTATTTCTTGTTTCTTACTTTCATGTATTAGGCATTCACAAATTCAATGCTTTGTTGATTCTGACACACACATATAAAATATATATATATATATATATATATATTGGAGCATTTCAGATTATATTGTTTAGGTTTTCATGTTTTCATCAAACATTCATTTATTAACTTAATCTTGAGCATCATCATTTATGAACACATTCTGAATGTTTTAAAAATGTCACATGAGAAACTAAACCATTTTTGCTTGCTTTAAATATATGGATGTGTCTGTATTTATCATAATTTTGCAATACGATCATAATTAACTGGAAAATTAAATTTATCTATCCTTGTATTGAAATTATTCAAAACTAAAACAATCACTATTTTGAAAGTTGCATAGTTTTTCAATACATTTTTATCTATTTTTTCTTTACATCGATTTGATTTTCCGTGTATATTTGCAATAAAAAAATAAAAAAATAGTCTTCTGTGATAAGTGGATTCTAACATATTACAATTTTAGTTTTATTGTTTCATTAGTGGGTGTAAAATATTTTAAATGTCACAAAAACAACCCAAATTGTTTAGAGCTTGTTGTTATATTCATTTTCACTTGAACATGTGAGAGCAGAAGGATTACAGTTCTATTTCGCAAAATACAGATATCCATTTCATTACTTTATAGTACAATGAGATATCACTAAATCAAGATAATATGTAAAACTCATTTCCTTTTTGTGTTCAAACGTCTGTTTGACACACAGTTATTTTTCAAAATGTTAATCATTTCATTTAATACATAATTATACAAAGTCACATAAATCAATCCAATTATATATATATATATATATATATATACACATATACACATGTAAGTGAACTAATTTTGTGGCACAAATCCATTTTTCATAATAAAAGCTCATATTCCTTCTTGGATTCTTGACCAAGAAAGCATCACTTCGCCATTGCTTTTACTGTGGACTCCAAAGAGTGGATAGCAATGATCCCAAGTTGGTTCCATTTGAAACACATACACACATATTAGTTTTAATTTAATTTAATTTTATTTGGTTTTAATTTTAATTTGAATTTTGAAGAGTCTATGTCATTGAAAAAACTTGGCCACAAATGTGATTGGTACTTTGGTGACAAAGGGACCTGGCAATGAATGGTATTTATGGCTCCCATGTGGATGAACTCGTGTGAAGGCCTCCACTCCTATTAAGTAGATGGATGGATCAATCCATAAATTCATAAAAATAAATATAATGAAGATTGAACAAAAAAAGAAAGGAAAAAGAAAAAAAAAAAAAAAATGTGCATTAGAAACCCAATTGAAGAAGCTATCCAAATTGGATCTTGAATTCATTTCTTTCATGTGGAGTGCATGCAATCTACTTTTTAATGGGGTTTTTAATATCTGTCCCCAGTAGGTATACACGCATGAATTATTCATTGATATCACGAACAATAATAAAAAGAAAATAAGAAGTAGAAGAAGAAGAAGGTGTTTTTGGTTGCAAAGGTAGCCCTAGAATCAAAGGTTGGCAGGTAGTACCCTTCAAATCCCAACAGTTTTTATAGGAAAAACCAAGACCATCATAAACCCCTTCCTTCTCACTTCCTTTTGGAGGATTTTTCACCACCAAACATGAATAGAAAAGTTCCCAAAAAGTACAAAGTTAGGTGCTTGGGGTGGCAGTATGGCAATGTGCACCATCAACCTCAAATGGTTGAGTTTCAGTCACTTCTTTTTCTGGTGGGGGGAGTTGGGTGTGGCTTTTATTCATCACTCCCTAAATTTGACTTTTAGGGTTTTAGAATGAGGCAGTTGTGACCAGAGGTGGGAGCCATGAGCCCCACGCCTGGCTATGCAAGTCAAGCACTCCATCCAAAGGCTCATGCACCATCGTGAATGGATGTACAGATCCTTGAATGAATGTCGGACATACTTATGGATGAATGTGGATGGATCCTCATCCGGCGGTGTTCCCGTGTGGAACGTTGAGAATACCGTTCGCAACGCTCCTTCTCCAGTGGAGCACGCATCTTTCCAGCGACAGGGTGTGAAAGATAAAGATAGTGCGTTTGGAAATAAGGAGTGTTTTGGTTAAAAACAAATACCCGAGAACGTTCACACTGGCATCGGAGGGGGAAGAGGGTCTTTTTTTATTTTTTTCATTTTTTTCATTTTTAACTTTTGCAGTCGGGGCGGAGTTTCCGAGGCGTCATCCCATTTGATTTCTTGTGTGTCGCCGATCTCGAGCTTTTAGAGGCAGCGGCTGTCGAATGGCGAAGCTGGGTAATGACGGGCGTGGAGAAGTTCGTCTCCTGCCCGCGGAGAGGGTGGAAATGGAACTGTGAGGAATGAGGGGGAGTTGGAAACCGTTTCAACCAGGGTTAGGGTTTCGAGGTTCGAAAACCGTGGTGGGAGGGAGGGGGGGAAGGAGAGATGAGTGGCTTCGGGGTGTGGTACATCTCGATGATGGAGAGTCGGAAGGTGATCTTGGTGGTTGAAGAGGATGATGCTCAGCACTCTGATTTTCGTGTTGTTTTTTTAGGACTATTCATGATTTTTCCGGCTCCGGGAAGGTAAGAATTAGAGTGAATTGTAAGGACTGCATCACTTGTAAGGAATTCGTTGTTATGAATTAGAAACTGCTGACTTCGATGTGATGAGTTTGGAAGTGGTGTGATATCTTTAACTTGTGGTAAGAGTGTGGATAACTTTTATTTATTTTATTTATTATTTATTATCATTATAATTATTATCTTGCGAATGCATGATGTCTGGATGGTCTTCCGTGCAATAAACACGTTCTCGAGTGGGTTTAGGGAGGTGTTTAACAGTGTCGTCAATTTGATCTGATCACCTTTGGATCATGTTGTTGCGGGATCGCCGTCTGCGAAGTGGATTGCTGTCATTTAGAGCCCGTCGTTGAACAACGTAGTCGAATGAGCTTTTCTCATACTGGTGGGTGTAATGAGGCTTTGCTTTGGATCACGCTTCTGAGTTATCGAGTAGCTGAAGTTTGACGCTTGTTCGTCAATTATCGCCTTCTGTTTGTTTGTTTGTTTTTTTTTTTTTCACATTTTATTTCAGTACCAGTGCCTCTCATCGCTAAAGTAAAGTTGCGTCTACTTTATGGCTTGAGCTAATTATCATAATAATGTGTACAATGAGCAGAGGGACATTGATAGCTCTCTGGCAGCTTCAAGTTCTAAAACGATAGTCCTTCAATGTCATGGTGAATATGAATATTAATCATGTCAGTTGGAGTTGATTTTGACGTCATCAACTAACTTTACGGAAATTTAATCGAGTCTTATGTCAGTGTAGACCTTATTTGAGTTATCAGTAGTACCTGACTAGATTTGGTACTTTTGTGGTCCTGCTTCTGGCAGTGGTTCAACAGGCTGACTCAGATGCGCTAGATGAAGCTGGCAAAGGAGGAGTTTGACTACAACACAGGATTGAGTGGGTTTCGTCTGGAGAGAGGTGCATGCATGATTGTATTATTGTAGAAATGTGTAATGTAAAGGAGTGACTTGTGTGCCTGACCTGCGCTGCCAAACAGACAAACTGTGGGTTTTAGGGTAAGTTGCACTGGTACGAAATTGTGGTAATCCGTCGTAGAATGCATTAAAGGCCTCTGAATCTGTTCCAGGTAATTAGACGAATGTCACTATTCTCGAAAATTCGAGTGATCACTTTTTGTTGAAGTGGGATAGTAAATGTTTTATTTTTGTTTTTAGGATTAGTAGCGATCCAATGCATGTAGTGAATACGCCAGCATAGTGAGACTTATCCAGATTGTGGCGAGCGCATTCCGCAGTGATTATTATGCCATTCGGTCTTCATAATGAAGCCGAGTTACTGCATTCATGAAGCTGTTTAGTCTATGATCTATCATAATGCACACACTGTTTCGTTAACAGTGGTTCTGGTTCATGAATCTTTATAACGTTTCTGCAATTGGTGACTTGATACACATGTCAAAATTAAAAACCATAGTTCAGCCTTCTCAACCTCAAGTATGAATCCAAACTTGAAGTTAAAGCTCAGACATTAGTTGTTGAATGTTTGCCTTTCTATATTATCCGTCATTCAGAATATCTTTACCATTGTAGTTGATGGAATTGTGAATCTGCTGCAGGTCAGTACTGTTGTTGCTCAACATAATCAGAGGCCATGGTTTGCGGTAGTGGTTTGTGTTTATTACACGCACGCTGTTCTGTTTTCTTAGATGAGTTGCTAGATATGGTCTAGTCAGTGACTTCTGGTGTGACAAACTTGTTGAACTTCGTTGTAGGGTGCACACGCTTGGCTCGAAGATGCTCTGGAATAGTATAATTAGGTGATGGTTGTTGTGAAGAACTTCAATTGCACTTGAGAAAGGCTGTGTGGAGTGATTGGTTACTGCCACTACCCAGTGCACTATCATTCGGAGATGCTCGGGGATTGAAGTGGGCAGATAACGGAGTCCACTGGCCGTCTTTTGAGCAGTTGAAGCAAACATTCAACTTGTGCACAGCAGATAGTAGATAACTTGAAACATCATGACTGTGTGCCTTGCATCAGCGGGATCCATTCAGTAGCACTAGACTTGGCTGTTCAAGTGACAGTATTTCAGAAATGGGAAACTCGGAGTTCGCACAACTTTCACAACAAACCTAAGCTGTTCACATTTCATTATTACGAATCAAGGTTCAAGGATTCTCAGAAAGCTAGCATTAGAACACCACAAAGTGTTAAATCACTAACCAACTCTGCATCACTCCATGTCGAATCGTAAGTTTTTTGACACCAAGGTGAACAGCATCGGATTAGAGACCACGGTAGAGATCTACGAAAGGGCAAACACGAGAACCCAGCGACTCGATTGGTATCTGGATCTTCAGAGTTTCTATCTCTGGCGCATCGCCTCGGAAAAGAGTCCAATGGCCGTCCATTGATACCCGAGAGATACACGCGTGATTCGAGCATCGTCGTGTGGAAGCTGCCGACCCGGCGTTTTGGGGGGCGGGGTCGTCGTCGTCTTGGAGGTCGCTCTCTGTCGACGATGGGTCTCGACTACTACTCTAGCAGCAGCTGCGTCACGCCGGAGCTCGCTTGCTGGGAATAGGTGGAACGTAGCGCAGCTCGTTTGTTCAAATAGGTGCGTTGCTGGACCTTTTTCATTGCCGTGGCCTAGTTCCGCGTGATTGCGCTATCAACCCAATGGTTTTTTTCATTTTTTTTTAGTCCGTCTGAATCGCACTGGGTCTCCGTTGAGGTCAGTGGCGATGATTAGGGCAGGCAGGCAGGCAGACGCTTCGGTAGCGGAGGTTTATACCGAGGGGGTTCGTTGTAAGTGCTGGGGAATGTAAGTGAGGTTTTAAGGATGAGGAGGTGCTGATCCTGGTTATAACATGAAAGATGCACTTTCGAGGTTTCTTTTTTGTGTATTTTCTTTCATTCGTCGTGAAGTATGTTTGTTGCTACAGACGGGGATGTGATGGTAGCGTGGAAGATCATCTTGTGAAATTAGCTGAGTTGCGGCCTATCATTCGTGTATGCTGAATGATTTTGGATTTTATAAAGTGGGGGACTGTGGTTATGTTTTGTGGTTGAAAATTTGAAGCCCTAGCGGTAATGCTCCAGCAGTATAATGTGTCGTGCAGGTGGAGTTCAGGTCTTCAGTTGTAGTGGTAGGCGTGAAGTTCTGCAGGATTGTTTCGACGGGAGTATGCTATAGTGAGGTAGGAGAAAGCTGAAGTAGGAGGATTCAGGTTTGCCTAGAACCGTTTGCGAGCAGTGATTATCTTTCTGTATCTTTTTAACCAAAATTGTCTACAACTTCAACTCCTCAACTCTCTTGCCTCTTGGTTTTAGCCACGGTTACCCAGTTGTCTTCGCTATCGTACGCTGGCGCGTAATTGGAAAAGCACCATACCGTCGTCTTTTGCAGTGGATTCTTGGAGTTTTTTTCCTTATTCTTTTATTCTGACAAATTCTTCATTTAATGCATCCTGAAGGTTGGCAGCTATTCGGTACCAACTGAAGTGATGGTGCTGCTGTTGCTTTTAAGCTTCAATTGACTTTTTATTTCACAACCATGTTGTAAAGATAAAGGGGCATCAAAGGCGAAGCTTTGCAAAGTTAAGAGATTGAAGATGCGTGTGAAGCAGATGTTGCGAAAGTGCCTCCTGCTGGTGGTTCTTGCGTCTTCTCTTGTGCTTGTCTGCGAGGGTAGCGATGGCGACCAGCGCCCTCGTTACAGGTCTTTCTATATTTTCCTTCCAGCTTAGCGTTTTCGAGTTTATGATTCTTTTTTTACATACTCATGTTTGTTAGGCTTAAGTTGACTACATGTAGGCTTGCGCTCGCGCATTGAGACAAAGAGACCTTTTCCTACGAAATTATAAGCTTTGGTTGTGTAGGTTTCTAACGCACTCCACATCACAAGTTCGTGCTTTGACTTCAAATTCAAATCCCTTGATAATTGTACCATATTATCCGCAGTCATTTCGTTTTACGATTTGAGATGATATGACTTAAGATTAGATACTGTTATGATATACTTCAGCTTCGGCAATGTAGTGACGTGTGCAAGTAGATTTTCTTAAAATAATTTGGTGAACGTAAGAATTCTGGACTAGTTCCTCTGGGAAGAGCACTGATTTAGTGGGTATGGACGGTCACCGTGTCATAGGGAATGCGTGAAAGGATGTGAGCAGACTGGGTGTGTAGATGGCCAGTGCTACAACAGCTGCAACTTCCAAGTGAATGTTGACTTGGAGGGCAATATTCTTCCCAAAAAAGCGCAGATCAATTCTCCTCATGAGAAGTTCCTTAAGGAGCCGCTGTACTTGCGATGGAAGAAGTGGGACTGCATCAGTGAGTGCCGCTACCAATGCATGCTTCGTGAAGAAGCAGACTCAGAGGTTCCGGTTAAATACCATGGCAAATGGCCGTTCGTTCGCATTTTCAGCCTCCAGGTTTGTACTCTCAATTGATCTTTGTTTGAGTACCTACTCCACTTACGGGAATGTAGTGTAATTCCAGCAGTCGATAAACAAATGTTAATTTTGCAAGCTGTGCTGAATCTGAGGTCTGTTTAGTTTTGACAGGAATTGTTTTCTCTTTGTTAATGAAATATTGGCATGTCCTAATTGTTCTTGAATGGTGGTTGTCTGAAATAAATTTAGGAACCCGCCTCAGTAGCGTTCTCTGTGTTGAATCTGCTGGTGCACTTCCAAGGGTTTTCTTCGTTTCTGGTTCTCCTGTACTATAAGCTCCCATCCCGTGCGAAGGGTCCCTTTTACGAATATGTGGGGCTTTGGACCATTTATGGTCTCCTATCCATGAATAGCTGGATTTGGAGCACCGTTTTTCATTCGAGGTGAGCTATGTATTTTGTGATTTGTTTTTCTGACCTTCTGAATGTTATTTTGCTCCTTGATTTAGGGCACTATTTCCCTTTGGCACGCATCACGCTGTTTTCAGATGGAATGTCCCGTTCATGTTGGCAGGGAGAGTACTGATCAGTTGCTGGCTTTGTGTTAAAATCCAGAGATATGACATTCACTGAAATGCTGGATTATTCATCAGCTATTGCTTTGATTGGTTACTCTTTGATGCTTGCCATCATTCGAACTGGGAACCTTCGATCTGAAGCGGCTCGTGTAATGGTGGCAGCTCCTATAATTGCCTTCATCACCACTCACATTTTGTACCTCAATCTTTATAAGTTCGATTATGGTAAGCTGGATTTTGAAACTCTTTGCTCCCTTTCAGTACGAATTTCACACTGAATTAATGACTTCATAGGTCTTCATCATATTGGTAGCGTGATTGTAATGGAATAATGTCAGGAAATCCAAGACGGCGTCTCTGTTAATTCGTGTGAATTTACTGTTGGAACCGCAGGATTAAACATGATCGTCTGCGTGGTGATAGGCGTAGCCCAGCTGTTGATTTGGTCAACGTGGGGGTTTATCACGAGACATCCAGCTCGTTTCAAACTCTGTACTGTAGTCTTCGGAGCTGCTTTTGCCATGCTCTTGGAAGTCTTCGATTTTCCACCCCTGTGGGGTATTTTTGACGCCCACGCCATATGGCATGGTGCTACTCTTCCCATCACCTACCTGTGGTGGAGTTTCATCAAGGACGATGCAATATACAGAACCGAAATGCTGGTTAAGAAGAACCTAACATCCTCAGGCTCTTTTTCAGAAGCTGAAACAAGGAAAACACAATAATGTTTTTTTTGTGGAAACCGCAGTAACTTCTTAATAGTTGGACCGCCACTTTTCTGATTGGCAGTTTGAAAGAGTTACGAAATAATTATCATCTGGATAGACTTGCATTAGAGATGGGGCATGAATGACGTGACTGTAGTAGTGCTACGGAAGAAAGCCATTTCGTCGTCCAGCACTGTGTAGATTGCCTTATTGCACAATATATTATCATCCACTGTTACCTTAATAGCAGATGCCAGGCGAGACTTTTGCTTGTGTTAAATAGTCATTTAGCGTTTTCTTTTGTTTCATTCGTATTTATTCATTTTTTTCCTACTTTCTGCCGGAATAGGCCCAGCGGATTCCGCAGTGTCCAAGTCGGTAAGATTTTTAGTCGAGTCCATTTGATACAAGTTTCGGATTCCTTTTTTTTGTTTTTTCGTTTTTGTTCTTTTCTTATTTCTTTTTCGCCGACTGGATGTTGACCAGGGGCAAATGGTCCCAATGCTGTAATCAGAACCCTCACCTTCTGTAAAATTATTTCAACTTTTGTCAAAACTGTGATTTCATGTCTTCGTGCCTTTTTTTGTGAGATATCTACTCTCGTCGGATGACTGATCTTATTCATAAGCTTGCCAACACAATGGTTTGTAAGTAGCCTTTGGAGATATTAGTATAATTTACTACTAATCTTTTCCTCCACAGAAAAAGATAATTGCATGTACAAGGGGGTTCCTTCCGTGTGATTCTTGCATAGAGGTTTTGAACACATGGTTAACATTTTTTATCACATACTATCAATATTGCTACTAAGAGTACTATGAATTTTAGTTTTTTAGTTTTTTGTTTGTTTGTTTGTTTGTTTGTTTGTTTGTTTTTTGCATTGTCAATACTTATTGAAGATCAAATGCATGCTCACTTGGTCCATTACTATAGAGTAAGTCAATTCTATGTTAGGGAAATATGCTTATCAACATTACCAGATGTTAAGAATATGAATCACAAACAATAAAAATCTTAATAAATTCTTATAGCATTTAAATAGAATAGATATTTATTGAAAGATAATATGATATTGAATGCCTATTGTTCTAGACATAAAGAATAAGATCAAGAGATTCTTGAAACAAGACTAAAATTACAAAAAATATTGATAAAAATGAAGAAGGTTTGAGTCTTGCCTCCATATATACTATCCAATTAGAAACTACATGGCAATATTCTACAAGACCTCTAATATGTATTCAACATGCAAAATACATATCTAACTTGTTTAACACATGTCTAACTTAAAAGACAACTTTTTTACATGTACACCACATGGTTAACTTGTACTACAAATTATCAACATGTATAACATGTGGCCAACTTGTTGGCCAAGTTTCCAACCTACTAATCAACTATAAACATGTATACAATCAAATATGTATCTATGAAGTTTCTTAAAAACTTTTCTAAAAAACATTGTTAAATCTATCTACATTTATTTTTTATATTACACTTTTTATTTACGTAATTATATATGTTCATGACATTATCTTCCTTATTATGGACAAGTTTCATAAGGAACAATAATCACATATTAAAGAAGTCTAAGATATAATTAATTGAATTTGTCACATACTTTGATCTTTGTTTTCTTTGAAGATAGATTATAGATCTTCTCAACTATAGATATTATTCCATACTTAAGTATAAAAACCACCTTAATATTTTATCATTGTTAAAGCTTTTGTAACTTCTTTTAAATAAAATATTTGGAACAATATCAAGGATGGTTCTTACCTTTGATAATATTATCAAACATTAAGTCTCTTTTAAGGTCAAGTTATCAAATTTATTTTATTTTTCTATCTATTCAAGGAAACACATATTATTCTTAAAGATCTTAGTATCTATTATATTCTTTTGAAGGTTGTCACAATCTCAATGCTTCATCTAGTAACTCAATAAAAGATAACCACTAAGTTGAATATACAAGTTGTTGATTCTTTATCTCTTTAGTGCCACAAGTATACAAAAATCCTAAACAAAAATAAAAGATAGAATACAATCTTTATCAAACCTAGTTTATTTTATAACAAAGAATTTTTTGACCTTTTATTTTGGTTTTGATAGATATTATTACTAAAAATTATCAATCTTCTTTGCAATATTTACAAGATTCTTGATTAATTTTCATGTACATTTACTAATATCATATTTGCACCAATATACAAGATATTCAAACCTATTTTGGTACTACCTTAAGTCTAAGACTTCTTCAATCTTAAATTCTTGATTTTTGTTCATTTCTATAAAAAGATGTATAATTTGTATTCTTTATGATATATCCATTGTCTTATATGACTCAAGAAGAAATACATAGAATATAAGATGGATCTTCATAGACTTAAGTATGTATAATTAATAAGCAATTAGATTGATCTGTTTATAAAAAAAATGGTTTAAGTCTATAATAATCTAACTTGTCACAATTACAAGCAGTCTTAATATTATAATAAAGTAACCATAGCTTCTTGCTAATATGGAATTGAGATTATTTCTTACAATAGGCGTCTTTATTGGTTTTTTGTTGTTTTTGAGTTTCTATTAATTATTCCTTCATTTTTGCATGCAACTTTAATAAAAAAATTGTCATATCTTTTGCTATAAGATTATCAACTTTTGAGAAGTTAAAAGTATCAAGTTGTGGATAATAAACATAATTAACATTAAAAGGTGTTTGTTGAGTAGAAAAATGTATAGTATTATTATAAGAAAATTCTCTCAATGATAAAAAAATTGTTCAATCATCTTAATAATAGTTGATGATACATCTTAAATATTGCTTCAATACTCAATTCATCCATTTTATTTTTTCATTAGCTTGAAGTTGAAAATGTGAAGATATTTTTATATTCACCTTCAATATCTTAAAAAAGGTTCTTGAAAATCTTAGTACACATTAAGTTCTTCTATCTAATATAAGGGCTTTGTTATTCCAATCCACGTCTCACATATAATTTTAAAATTCAGTAGTATATATAATAGCTAAGCATGATGCTTGTTGTAAAGATAAGAGTTTAATCTACACAATCTTTATTTAAAGATAAGTAGTCCTTTTTCTTGAAGGACAAAATCAATGTTAGAAGAAAAAAATTTTAACTTAAAGAGTGGACAATCTACAATCTTTTAAATACAACAAAAGAAGCAAAATGATCCTTTCACTTCTAAAACAAAACAAAAAAAAATAAATTAGTTCTCTTGTCAAACTATTATGGATATAAATTACAAATAATAAAGACCTTGATAAATTCCTATGTCACTCAAAAAGAATAGATATGCATTCAAAAGTAATATAATATTAAACTAGAATGACTATCATTAAAAACAAGAAGAATAAGACTAAGAGACTCTTGAATTATGACTAAAAATAAGAAAGATGCTGATAACAATGATAAAGGCTTTCATCTTGCTTTAATATATATTATCTATTTAAGAGCTACACAATAATATTCTATAGGATTTTTTACATATATCTAACTTATAAAATTTAAGTCTAACTTTTAAGACAAGTTTTCTACATGTGTACTTTATGGCCAATTTATACCACTAGATGCCAACATGTGCAACATGTGACAAACTTCTTGGCCTAATTTTCAATCTATCAATCAACTATAAACACATATAAATTCAAAACTAAGTCTATGAAGCTTTTAAAAAGTTTTTTAAAAAGATACTATTAAATCTACTTATATTTACTCTCTTCTTAATATTTCTTATTTAATTAATTATATATACTTATAATAATAGATTATTATAGGAATATATAAACTTAAGTTCACCAAGCTCATAAGAATGTGCTTTAATTATTTTATTTTTAAGTATTTTTTTGTAATATATAACCAAATTATTGTGTGTATAATTTTATTCTTATATTTTTATTGTTATCCATTCAAATGATATGAGAGCTTAATTCTTGAATTACTAATGCTGCAAATTAAGTCACTTCAATGTTGCTCTGTAATAAGCACTTGTATTTAATTGAGGTGCAGTTATAGAACTCAATTTGAGGTACTTATTATGTGTAGTGCTATTATTTTTTAGTTACATGAAACATTTTAGCCAATTTGAAATAAACTTGATTTTCAATCTTGTAGAATTTCTTCTAAGCTTTTTTTTGCTGATGATATATTTGTACAGAGTTGGATGCTCTTGTGTTGTTAGTCATATTGTATTTAGTGAAATTTACAAGTGTAAATTTTATTTCTTTAGATCACACTTCTTTGTAATAATGACATCCACTAGTTTGATACTATATTATTAAGTTGTAACATATCTATAAGGTAAAATAAAAAATATGAATTATAATTTTTTTTAATAAATAAAAAATAAGAAAGTAATAAATATATTTAATATTAATGCTATTTTTTTATAAAAAGGCTTTTACTTACTTTGTATAGCCATAAACAATACAAAATGAAGTAATTTTTAAAAAATAATATTAAAATCTTTAGAAAAAAGTTAAAAGTAGTTTTTAGCAAAACTTTCCTTTAAAAGCTAAAAATTGATACTTAGAGAAGATTGGTTGTGAACTAAGGTCAAATCAAGACCTCAAGGCACAAAACCACATATCTACAAAAATTCTAAGATTTTTTTGTTGATCAAAGAATAGATTTTGAGAGTAAAATTTATAAAATTTCTTTAAGCATTAGATGAATTGAATTTGTAATAATATTATTAGAGCTTTGTAATGTCATGATTTTTTTGTGATGACTTTGATTTTTTTGAAATAAAATGAATTTATATTTTAGAGCATTTTCTGAGAATTTTAATAAATTTAGAAATAAATTTTTTTGGATATGTGATTAAAATTGTATTAAATATATATTTTAAGATTTGTTTTGATTAAACAATTGAATTGAAGGCCAATAGTTAAATTATTAGTTATTAAATTTTTTAATTTTCTATAGATTTTATTAAGATTTGATCAAAATTTAGTTAGAATTTCATTAGAAATTACTTAGATTTTATTTATAATTTTTAAGGATTTTCTTAAAAATTACTTTTCAATTTTAAAAAATATTTTTAAAGATTTTTTTTAATTTTTAATTTTTAATTTTTAATTTTTTTTATTATTTCTTTGATTTTCTTTATATATATATAAAATATATATATATATATATAAATTTTTTTAAAGGATTTTAAAAAGATTCTATAGGAATTTAATAAGTTTTGATTAAAATTGTTACAATTCAATCAAAGCTTGTTTAGATTTTTATTTTTATTTTTATTTTTATTTTTAAATTGTAAGGTTTTTAGTTGTTACAAATATAAGTTATCTTTTATAGCTA